AAATTAGTGATCCTAGAATCACAGTCCGGTCCGGTCCTGTATAGGACTGGTAGTCCTTGGACCGGACCGGACCGGACGGACCGATTAACATCCCTAAATATATGGTTTACTAGTTTATACGAACAATATAAAAATTGCATAAAAATCAAAAAATAATAAATTTAGTATATCAATTATTTGTACTATTTGATAATTATTTTAATTAATTATATTATATCATTATTATTATTATATATTATAAAAAACAATTAAGTTGTTTAATTAAAATAAATAAACAAAACTGAATTAAAAAAACCATACATTTTATATTTATTATGTTATAATAATTCTAATTTAACAATTATAATTCTTTTTATTACTTATAAATTATTTCACAATAAAAATATTTTGTTTAATTATTTTATATATAAATATTTTTTGTTAATAAAGATCTTATTTATTAAATTTTATTATTAATTAATTTTATTATATTTTTACTTTATATTATTTATAAAAATAAAATCAATGCTAATTTATATGTATATATTAATAATTAATTTGGTAAATAATAAAATCATTAAATTATTTATGTTAGTTAATAATATAATACTTAAATGTACAAAAAAATTATAGGATTTTTAAATAGATAAATAATAATTTACAATATGATTCAAACAAATAATAATGTAATAAGCAAAAGGTTCAATATATGATAATTATTTTTCAATTAATTACAATAATTTTCAAGTAATTAAATCTAATAATCGATTTGATGTGTGAAACAATATCAAATACGCAGGTGTGAAAAACATTGTATTTATTTGCATTGATTATTTTATCACAAAATTCGAATGTTTTTTCTTGAATTTCTTCGGATGATCATATTTCTATTTGTTAAACATATTAACTATGATATTATTAAAAATAAAATAAGTTATTTATTTCTGATGATATAAAATAATCAAAATAAGATTCGATAATTGCCAATCCATTAGAAAATGACGTATAGTATTTAATTGTTCAATAAAAAAAAATTATGATCACGTAAATTTTTAAATAAAGATTACACATCTTTGGAGATATATGCCACTTCGTTATATTATCGGTTTTCCCAAAAACAACAAATGTTAAACTTATGAAGGGTGTTCATCATTAAATATTTAATCATTTCACTAGCGTTCACCCTAGTGATTAATATGTTTGTTAACAGAAGAAGATCTTATCTTTATACGTAGAACTGCACCTTGCCTTTCCAATACTCAATATGTACTGTAATGATAAGCCTATCTCTCTGATATCCCGATATTTTTCCCATAGTAAGATGTGTCAAACATCAATTTGAGGATAAATGTAAATAGTATTTCATTGGTGTCAAATAACCGTGCGCAAACTTTTACTACATGGTCATAGATAAGCCATATAAAGCATAGTGCTTGGCTTTATGTGACAAGTTAGAATCAGAAGCAAATACAGGTTTGCGGAAATGTTAAAAACATCAGTGGTTTAAGAATAAATTGGTTGTCGATTAATTTACCGGAAATTTTATGAATGGTTTAATATATGATCCCGTTTTAAAAAGAACGTAAGTATGCGTGACGCATAAAGAGAAAGAATTGATCTTGATGAAAATAGTATTTGAAAGTTACTGTATAACGAACGACTTGTTCATGTAATCATGATGACAAAAGATTGATGTGCTGACTTGTGATGTGAGACTCGACCAAGTATATCACGCTTCCATAGCCTCTATGATGATTTAAACATTGCGCACTGCAGGTTAACCATAAGCAACTGACCAATTTTGTCCGAGACACTATTTAAAGAAATTTATTTTATTTATCTCGGACAACAAAAGCAGGAAAAAATATGGTTCGTCCCAAGAACCACACGTATAACTTTCCCAAAAAGCACAGATTCCTAATTGTTTTCTCCGCTTTGGGGATTTTCCTTTATTTTGTAATAATCTTTAACAATCAAGGTGCCGGTTGTTTCATTGACTGTGATGGTGAAAGTTCCATCACCAATTCCTCGGACGAAAAATTCATGACCTACTTGCCTCACAGCGGATTCCATAATCAACGTATCTCACTAGAGAATGCTATATTTATCGCCTGGTACCTAAATAGAACTCTAGTGATTCCGCCAATATTTTATTTCAATGAAATTCTTCCGTTTGGAAAGAGACCGTTCGATAGGCTCTATTCCTTACTCTCTAAATTAACTCCGAAAAAAAACACATATCTACACTGTAAATCAAATGGTAGAAAAAAGAAATGCACAAAAGTAACTTATACATTGTATAACTGGGAAGAGCTAATGGATTTTAGGTTCGTAAAACGGAATGTGCGAATTATTCATCGCGCGGACTTTCATTATGAACATTTGTTGCAAAGCCTAAAAATTTCCCCGGGTGATAAGGGACAAGTATATAATTTAAC